GAATATCCTGGAAAATGAGGGAACGAGACTACAGGAGAGGGTTCAATCTCCATCCATACCAGTCTTCCCACTATCAGCCTCTGGCCAATTAAGGGAAATACAGTCCAATGAGTCCAGTCATACCCATCTTCCCACTGGCAGCCTCTGCACTCTGGAAGATTAGGGGAAGAGAGACAGGAGAGAGCATCCAACCTCCATTCCAACTCCTCATCCACACCAGTCTTCCCACTGTGAGCCACTGGACAACTCATCTGTCTGCCTCTGGCCATTCTGGAAAACTACAAAAATGAACACAAGATAGAGCATCATCCTCCATCCACACTAGTCCCCTCACTGTCTGTCCCTGCATTGGAGTCCATCTTGACCTTTGACCCCTGACATTTTGGTGTTTGACCTCAGAGAGCAGGAGACGCTGCTGGAGACAGGAGAGACCATCAATCCCCATTCTATCTTCCTATCCATACCCATCTTCCCAGTGTCAGCCTCTGGACATCCTGGAAAATTAAGGAAAACACAGTCCAATGACAATCCCAACATCTCATCCATACCGATCATCCCACTGGAAGCCTCTGGAAAATTAGGGAAAAGAGGAGTGAGCATCCAACCTTCATTCCAACTCCTCATCCATACCCATCTTCCCACTGTCTGCCACTGGACAGCCCGTCTTCCACTGGACATTTTGGGAAAACTACAGAAATGAACACAGGACAGAGCATCAACCTCCATCCCAACACTTCATCCACACTGGTCTTCCCACTGGCAGTCTCTGGCCATCCTGGAAAATTAGGGAAAAGACAGGAGAGAGAGTTAACCTCAATTCCAACTCCTCCTCCATACCCGTCTTCCCACTGTCAATTTTACGGACATCCTAGAAAATCAGGGAAATGATTACAGGAGAGAACATCCAACCTCTATCCCAGCCATTCTTGTCTCTCCACTGTCTGCCCCTGGACATCTTGGAAAATTAGGGAAGAGAAAACAGGAGAGGGTTCAATCTTCATACAGCCTGTCATCTTCCCACTGGACATTTTGGAAAACAACAGAAATGAAAAGAGGACAGAGCATCAACCTCCACCCCAACACTTCAACCACATTGGTCGTCCCACTGTCTGAAAAAAAAAGATTCCCACCTCCATTCCAACTCCCCTTCCACTCCGTCAATTCTTTTGGACATCCTAGAAATGGTCTTCAGCCCATCTTTCACCTGTCACTCAAGATTGTGTTAATTCAACAATAACAATACTTCACCAGGCTCCAATATCAATACTAGTAACTTTATAACAGTTCTCCTCTCACTAGTAGGGTTGTGTGTTCATGTCCTGAGTACGAGACAGGAGTGACAGGACTAACCTGACCTTGTGCTCGAGCTGGAGGGAGGTGTTGGACTCGGGTACGAGAGTGTAGTGTCAACAGCACACTGACCAGGTTCTTGTGGGCGAGAGACAGCAGGAGGTCAGGACACAGCCCTGAGGGTCACCCCCTGGAGCCCCGATAGGAGGAGTCCACTGGCTCTCCGCCTGGAGCTAGTCTCCCAGGAGCAGCCTGATTCAGGGTCACCTGCAGCTCTTCGTCATCATGGTCATCCTCACAGGCTCCAGCAGGCAGGAGATCAGGACACCCTGGATGTCTCCTCGAGACGACTCCTGCTCTGTCCCCTCGGAGTCTGTGGATCCAGATTGATCCGATCATGTAAGACCAGCGTCACCTGCGAGGGACAGCCAGTGAAGGAGAGACTCACCTCCATCCCAACTCCCAGCCATA